CAGCAGCGGCAGCAGCGGCAGGGGCAATGAGAAGAAGAATACGAAGAAATGTCGTCTTTCGGGACCATTCCAAGGCCGTCAGAGCCCTGTTCCTATGTTGCTGCGGAACCCACTGATGCCTTTCTCCTGGAACTTTGTCGAACGTGTTTAAAGCAACTGAATCTGCTGCGCGCTTTGCTGTACAGAGCTGAGAAAACAGACATGTCATGGACGCCAATTACTTTGAATAGTGTAAGTTTACAAATAGTTTCGAAATATTTTTCCTAATAAATAGCATAGAAGCTTGAAAGCCTTATTAAATTATGCCTCGGGGAATTCCACAAGTTGAAAGTACTGTGTCACTGATGGCTTCACTTGCCCTTGACATTGAAGCGCAGTGGTATCGCTCTTGTCTTCTCCATCCTTTCACCCAGGTGAGCGGACACTCCTGTAATCAATAAATCCACTTCGTATATAGTCCATCAATTGCTAGGCTGTACCCCTACAGACCCTGCTTTGATGGTTTTCGATGGGTAGAAATGTCAGTCTGTGGAAAATATGGTTAATATGTTTCGAATTTATGGGTTAAACACGAGGCCTGATTAGTGAATTTTGTATAAGCCTAATCTTCACGGCCTATGGTGTATGACAAAACCGAACTTTGCACATGGATAGGTAAGGATAGGTTAGGAGTGTCTGATAGAAATGGAAGAGGCAACAAGGGACTTGTCGAGAACTTTGTATCGACCAACCCCAAACTATTTGACAGTTTGATGATCGATTTTGATGATGCCCACCGTGTGCCCCAGAGCAGCAGCAGCGTTAGGAGCAGGGACGGTGACTTGCGCAGGGGTTTATAATGCCAGTAGACTTGCGCTGCATCGACCTACACTGTCCCCTCCTCCTCCCTCGCCCGTGCCCGGTGTCAAGACAGAGTCAGGAAGACCGGAGACGAGGGAGGTCGCAGGTGGATGGCTCGGATCGATCCTAACCTTCGCGTTCCACCACACACACTGGTCAACACAACAAATAACCTGGATTTCAACCGAGATTGGAGGCTGGCACGCCGAAGCCGCACCTAGGCGTGCCGCCGACGCCTGGCTCGGATCCCACACAGCGGGAGTGCCATAGAGACCACGTTAAGAAGGAGCCATTGGAGCCTGACTCTCAGAACTCCAGTTCAGGAGGAGGTCCAAGTTATCCCGTCAGTTGGCAACATTTGCAGCCACGGCTTTTAGCGCACCGTGATAGCTTCCAGCGCGTCGGATTGTTTATATTGAGGAGGAAGCGCGCTCAGTCGTCGACCTCACTCTCCCTCCCCATTCCCACACCCCAGTCGCTGTCCGAGCCGGTCAGCAGACTGGAGTGAGAAATGGGCGCGGTGGCTGGCATGGTTGACCGACCATGACTACGCGCGCCACGTGCACGACCCAGTCCCCCATACACACACACACGCACAACGCAACGAACTGCGTGGACCGAGTGGGGGCATCAATCAACAACCTTCCTATCCACGACGCTTGATGTTTCGGGATAGTCTCAGACTCAAGTCGCCCGTGCAGCCGATGCCGCATGGGGACCGATTCGAGATGCACACTTCCCAAATGCGTGGGAGGTGGCAGTTGGGCGCTTGCAGTGTGTGGGTGTTGATGTGTGGTGGTGCTGGTGATGGTGCTGGTGATGGTGCTGGTGATGGTGCTGGTGGTGCTGGTGTTGGTGTTGGTGGTGGTGGAGGCAGGGAGGGCGGGTTTTACGGTGTGGTGCAGCCGGCGGTTGTCGTGGATGCGCATGTGGCCGAGTAGACCCATGCGATGCGTGAATGTGCGAGGGCAGTGTGGACAGTGGAGGCGAGCTGCATCGGCAACCCGTATTTTCAGCTGAGTTTGCCGTTTCCGAGTTAATTGCCATTCAGTGGCTCCAAAGCAAATTCGCACAAACTTACGTCTCTCAACAAGGAGGTTCCGACTGCTCACAGAACATTTCACCGGAGGTGGATTAAGTATATGCACTTTTAGAACAGAAAAGTAGCAGTCGATGATAGTGAACTAGACGAATACTTATGTGATCACTTCGTAGAAGTCTCATAATTACGGACTTTTACAGCAAAGATAATCCGCCGCTTAGATACAAGACTGTGTGATGTAGCAAAAAATCTTGGGCACTCTTTCTGTGATTTGGCATTTACTTGATGCCGATTGTTCAACCGTATCAATAGGCCTCGTCCTCCGAGTGTTCCTTTGAGTGAGTCTAACAACAGTGAACTGTGTGTGAATTAGCTTATAGTAGGACGGACTTGTGAAGCAACTACCGCACTCCCACCTCCTTGAATAACCTGGCACCGATGGATAGACAATGGCCAGTCAACCAGGCCTGAATCTGCAATGGGTTATCAAGCAAGAAAATTCAGGTCCTATCTCAAGAAAAGATGTTTGAGCCAACTGTCGACGAGATCTGCATGGAAGGAGGAAGCTAGGGACTGGTGCAATGTACAGCCGCACACCTGGGGTACATCGTCAAAGAACACATATCGATGGCGACGATACTCATTCGCCGCTGGTCAGCCGGTGGTATGGTCTTCGAATCGGCATCGCTGACACGCGCCCATCTGGTGCACCGTAGGAGACCGCGGGCTTACGGCAATGTCGTAAGCCATTGGCAAATTCGAGTCGTTCTTCCACTTCCAAGAAAATCTCGTGACCCACAGTGGAGTTCGGCTGCGCCGGCACATCAAGCAGCCCTATTTACGGACGGACACTGCTGCTCTTCGGAGGGGGCCTGGGAAAGCTGACCTAAATATTGCTGGGGAACCACGTCGTCTGCAGGCTGACCGTTGTCGCAGACGTAAAACGCACGGTCGAAACAACCAAAATCGAAATATCAACAACAACACTACTCACTCTCCTCATCCTACCTCTTCTTCCTCTTCCACTGTCTATTCTTCTGCCTATTCTTCTCGTTCGCCATCTTCTTCACCTCCTTCACGCCGACCCACTCGTGGCCAGACTGGCAGGGTGAGTCCGCTCACTCTGTCAGCCTGGAATTTTCGTTCCCTTTCAGACAATCAGAAGTCCAACCAACCGAAACGGAGGACGGCGCTAGTGACCCGGGAACTGACGCGCTACAAGGTGGACATCGCCGCACTCAGCAAGACTCGATTCTCCGAACAAGATCAATTGAAGGAAGTGGGTGTCGGTTGCAACTTCTTCTTGAGCGGTCGCCCCAGGGCAGAGCTACGAGACGCGGGCGTCGCCTTCGCCATTCGGAACGACATCGTAGGACGACTGCCCTGTTTGCCGCAGGGCATCAACGATCGCCTGATGAGCCTACGCCTGCCTCACTTGGGAGGCAAATTCGTTACTATCATCAGCGCCTACGCTCCGACGATGACGAACCCCGACGCCGCCGCAAGAGACAAATTCTACGAGGACCTGCACGCCCTCTTGGCGACTATTTCGAAGTCGGACAAGTTGATTGTCCTTGGTGACTTCAACGCCCGCGTCGGCACAGACCATACTGCCTGGAGGGGAGTGCTGGGTCCCCATGGTCTCCGCGGCTCAAACGACAATGTCCTGCTGCTCCTCCGCACCTGCGCAGAACACCGCCTCATCCTGACTACCACGTTCTTCTGTGTGTCGGAGCGAGAGCAGGCCACCTGGAGGCATCCTCGGTCGCGTCAGTGGCACCTGCTGGACTATGACCTCGTCCGGAGGCGAGATCAGCGGAACGCGCTGGTGACAAAGGCGATTGCGGGCGCTGACGGGTGTACCCACCATCGCCTCGTCATCTCGAAGATGCGTATTCGCCTACAGCCTCGTAGGAGGTCACAACGAAAGTGACCCTCAGGTAAGCTGAATATTGCCTTGTTGTATTTGCCCGCTCACCATCTACATTTCAGCAATGAGCTAGCTCAACGGCTAGACACCCCTCCAATCGCTGCCGTCGCCGATGCTGTCGCTCCCGAGAACTGCTGGTGTCCACTGAGAGACACGGTCCAGTCCATGGCACTAACCGTCCTCGGTCGCGCACGCCGTCAACACCAGGACTGGTTCGACGACAACGACGTCGCCATCAGCAATCTGCTATCCGAGAATGACCGCCAACACACAGCCTACGTAGACCACCCCACTGACGACAACAAAGCTGCTTTTTACCGCAGTCGCCGCCACCTTCAGCAACGACTGCGCGAGATGCAGAACGCCTAGACTGCTCGCAAAGCTGAGGAGATCCAAGGCTACGCGAAGCGCAACGAGGGGAAGAACTTCTTATTCTCCGCGATCAAAGCTGTCTACGGTCCGCCGACGAAGGGCACTGCTCCTCTCCTCAGCGCCAACGGCAGTATCTTCCTGACTATGAAGGCACAAAGTCTACAGAGATGGACCGAGCATTTCCGAGACGTCCTCAATCGCCCCTCCGCCATCTCCGACTCCGCCATCGCCCGTTTGCCGCAGGTGGAGACCAAGGTGGACCTCGACCTCCCGCCGTCTCTCCAGGAAATCATCAGGGCCCTGCAGCAGCTCTCTAGCCGGAAAGCTCCCCGATCGGACGCAATTCCTGCTGAGATTTACAAGCACGGAGGTCTCCAACTGATGGATCACCTGACTGAGCTCTTCCAGGAGATGTGGCGTCAAGGTGAAGTCCCGCAAGATTTCAAAGACGTAACCATCGTGCATCTCTACAAGCGAAAAGGGAACCGCCAAGTCTGCAGCAATCACCGTGGCATCTCCTGGCTGAACATCGCCGGGAAGATTTCGCCCGCATCCTTCACAACCGCCTCAATAATCATCTGGTACAGGGTCTACTGCCGGAAAGCCAATGCGGCTTCCTTCGTTATCGTGGGACCACGGATATGATCTTCGCCGCACGTCAATTTCAGGAGAAGTGTCAGGAGATGCGGACCCACCTGTACTCTACCTTCGTGGACCTGACGAAAGCCTTCGACACTGTGAATCGTGAAGGACTGTGGAAGATCATGCAGAAATTCGGCTGTCCGGAGCGATTCACTCAGATGGTGCGTCAGCTGCACGACGGTATGATGGCGCGAGTCACAGACAACGGAGCTGTCTCAGAGGCATTCGCAGTGACCAATGAAGTGAAGCAGGGCTGCGTACTGGCGCCTACCCTCTTTAGCCTTATGTTCTCTGCCATGCTGATGGACGCCTACAGTGATGAACGTCCTGGGATCCGCATCGCCTACAGGACAGACGGCCACCTTATGAATCAACGGCGGATGCACTTCCAATCGCGCGTATCCACAACCACCGTTCACGAACTTCTCTTCGCCGATGACTGCGCTCTGAACACAATCTCGGAAGAGGAGATGCAACGGTGCATGGACCTGTTCTCCGCCGCCTGAGAACTTCTGTCTGGTCATTAACACGCAGAAGACGATAGTGATGCATCAATCGCCACCCTACTCAGTCACAGCCCCCAACGCGCCGCCGTAAATTAGCGTGAACGGAACCCAACTGCAAGTGGTGGAGAACTTCCCGTACCTGGGCAGCACCCTCTCCCTTAACACCAAAATCGATGACGAAGTCGCTCGCAGGATCTCAAGAGCCAGTCAAGCCTTCGGTCGCCTTCAAAGCACAGTCTGGAATCATCAAGGTCTCCAACTGAGCACGAAGCTGAAGATGTACAAGGCCGTCATCCTGCCGACGCTGCTGTACGGAGCGGAGACTTTGATAGCATACACAAAGCAGGCTCGTCGACTGAACCACTTTCACCTCAGTTGTCTCCGTCACATCCTGAGGCTGAACTGGCAGGATCGAATCCCCGACACTGATGTGCTGGAACGGACGGGAATCGTCAGCATCTACACCATGCTGAGACAAATGCAGCTGCGCTGGGGCGGCCACCTGGTGCGCATGGACGACGAGCGACTACCCCAACGACTGTTATACGGAGACGTTGCGACGGGCTCTCGCCGCCAAGGAGGCCAAATTCGTCAATACAAGGATACTCTGAAGTCCTGCCTGAAGCATCTGCAAATTAACCCGATCAACTGGGAAGAGCTCGTCCTCGACCGACCTATAGAAGGAAAGTGAAGACAGGCGCTGCGATCTATGAGGCCAACCGAATCGCCGCTGCCAAAGTGAAACGCGAAGCAGGCAAATTACAACTACGCCCCGTCAGCAACGCAGACGCATCACCGCTTCCAAAGTGTCCTTGGCGTCAACGGGCACGTCGGGCACGAACTTGACTCACTGAACATCTTCGGGCCAACTGCACCTCTTATACCGCACCAACCGCCGCCCCTCCGCCCGCCTCTGCCCCGTCCTCGCCTCAACCAATTGACTCTGACAATTTATCTGAACCATCACTTCCGTCCTCCCCGTCCTCTTCCTCCTCCTCCTCCTCCTCCTCCTTCGCCTCCTCCTCTTCTTCCTCCCCCTCCTTACCTTCCCCCGCCTCTTGCTACTCCTCCTGTCCCACTGCACCAACCACGGCTGCGCTGGTGGCCGTCACTCACACCAGCATCACACACATCAATGACACAACAACAGACACCATCCCTCCAACCTCCGACTCCAGGGTTGAGGAACAGGACTTCACCTGCTCTCACTGCGACCGCACCTTCATCCGCCTGATCGGTAACTTGCGAATTCATCGCACGGAGACTGGCGAACCAGTGCCTGGACCACCAACCACCAACCATCCGCTGACCGGCTCGGACAGCGACTGGGGTGTGGAAATGGGGAGGGAGAGTGAGGTCGACGACACTGCGGGCTTCCACCTGCGGTCGCCCTCCTCTGCGATCTTCCTGACTCTGTCTTGACACCGGGCGCGGGCGAGGGCGGAGGAGGAGAGAGTGAAGGTAGATGCAGCGCAAGTCTACCGGCACTATATACCGCTGCGCAATTCCCTGGCCCTTCTCCCACCGCTGCTGTTGTGGGGCACAAGGTGGGCATTATCGAAATCGGTGGTCAATCTGTCACATATATTGGTGGTCAGGTCGTGTATGGCACACGTACTCGGGTAATCTAGCTCTGTCGACCACTGCGTCCGATTTACTCAATAGCAAAATGACAGGCCGGGATGTTCGACCTGCGCGTGCGAGAGGCGAGATGGAATGGACCAAATCAGTCCATTCCTCCCTGTGGTTAATGTGGCGCGCTTGAATCTGCCACCGCATGTTAAAACTCGTGGCTTTAAAGAAATCCACGTAAATGGACATTTCAATTTCAATGCTCAGTATGATGCGTGTACATGCTGGCTTTCCGGTTGACCGAAATTCAGATTTAATGGTCCATTCTTAACGCAGCAGCCAAGCACACACACACACACACACACACACACACACACACACACACACACACACACACACACACACACGAAAGACAACAGCCACCATGTGCGACGGTCATGCAACTCGGGGTGTGGAATAAGTCGTGAGCAGAGGCGCGGGTGGATACATTTGTTCTCTCAGTCTCTGGGCTCACGTTCACTCCCACTCGAAATCGTCGCGCAACCGGATTCCCGTGGGTGAGTCCGGTTGATAGAATGCGAGGACGATTTTCCACAAAATATTTCAACTTTACGTAACTTGTGCTGGACTCACTGCGTATGGCGAACGTGGCCCGTCATTTCTATCCATCAAAAACCATCAAAGTAGGGTCTGTATGGGGTACAGCCTAGCAATTGATGGACTATATACGAAGTGGATTTATTGATTACAGGAGTGCCCGCTCTCCAGGAAGAAAGGATGGAGAAGACAAGAGCGATACCACTGCGCTTCAATGTCAAGGGCAAGTGATGCCATTAGTGACACAGCACTTTCAACTTGTGGAATTCCCCGAGGCATAATTTAATAAGGCTTTCAAGCTTCTATGCTATTTATTAGGAAAATTATTTCGAAACTATTTGTAAACTTACACTATTCAAAGTAATTGGCGTCCATGACATGTCTGTTTTCTCAGCTCTGTACAGCAAAGCGCGCAGCAGATTCAGTTGCTTTAAACACGTTCGACAAAGTTCCAGGAGAATGGCATCAGTGGGTTCCGCAGCAACATAGGAACAGGGCTTTGACGGCCTTGGAATGGTTCCGAAAGACGACATTTCTTCGTATTCTTCTTCTCATTGCCCCTGCCGCTGCTGCCGCTGCTG